TTTATAAAAAATGAGTCATCTGGCCGTGTATTTGGCGCATTTCATACGGACTCCTTCTGTCAACGAAACCGGTCGCCTACCTACATGTAAATTTCTATTTTTTTTTTTTTTTTTTTTTTTTTTGCATCGCGCTCAAATTATCAACACACGCCCTGTAAAATCTCTCCTAAAAGAAGACACCATACAACTCTCAACTTGTTTCGCAAAACAAACGTGTTTTCATAACGAGTCGGTTTATACAGTTACGCGGTCACGCGAACCGATCGCCAGGCTCTGAAAAATCGGGGCACAACTAAATTGGTATTTCGCGAGTCCGCACCATCAGGACGTTGAACTTCCGATGAGGACAAACCTTGTATTCATATACTGACGTATGCTCCGAAAAACCGTGTATTTTTCAAAGATACGTAGCCTGGGTGCTTTAATTTATGCGCGTCAAACAAATGCTTCGATGGTAAGTATAATGTACAAACAACGCAAGGATGGGTGAACAGCACCTACCTATGTAGACGACTTCCATCTTGGAGGCGCGCTCTCGCGATTGTTGTCCTTCAGCGTTGTAAGTACACGGGTAATATACTCTATTTATGTATTTTTAAAATGTATCCAGCTCCGAAATGTAAAAAATAAAAAAAAAAAGGTAAAAAATCCAGGGTTACCACTAATTACGAATGTAATTATTCAGTCACTATAGTAATAGTGTATAATTAAGTACGCGTAACTTTAACAGTACACATCACTATAAAAAAAAAATCTGCAGCGATTGTGGCAAGAGAAGAATAAACTAAGTACTCAAGTATTTACGCCCAAAGTACACTCCAAAATTGAATTCGATGCATATATATCAACATTTCATTGATAGTATACGAGGAGAAGAGTTGCCGAACACTCAACATATCAACAGCAGATGATTGAGGTTAGGTACATATGTAATGTTCTCTCTCTCTCGAGTCGTTCGCTCCGTTGATGCGTCTATATCTTGGTTTTGCTCAGGTAAGTATGACGACACTTGTTGATTCTCTCTCTACATAATATAGTTATTGAGAGTATTATTGAGACCCCGAAGGCCCAAAGGTAAGTAAGTACGACATTACACAATTGGTTCAGTGTCAGACGAGGAACAATCGGCTTTGAGCGCACAACAAGATCGTTTGTACGTCCATACGCATAAGTATACACTTATGAAGGATACGGCGTATACGTAATTGTTATTGTTGTACAACGGAAGAGGCTTCTGCTGTTGTCATTTTGTCACTTGGATTAATCACTAATGGAAGACACGCCTTATCAACACACACTATCACTTGGCATCGCTTAATCGGTGATTACACTTTATTGCACTTGGTTCCTCCGCTTAGCGTGTATATATATATATGTGTGTGTGTATACATAGTAATGACACGATGCGAAGAGAGAGAAAATATATTGTATATACTTGAAAGTCGGGTCGGGCCCCCCGCACGTCTGCTCGGCGACTGCAGAGACTGAACTATACTCGAGGAGAACGCGAGCCGCCGAGACACCGACGCTCCCGTGCACACCACGACGACGAGAAATCTGATGGAGAGTCCCCGCCTCGTCCCGCCCCTGGCCCCGGTATGTCGGCTGTTTCTTTCTCTCTTGGAACGCACAGGAGGTACACACCATGGGGGCCTTTTTTCCTATCTCGCTCTCTCTCGGAACCATCATCAGCAGAGAGGAGACGGGCCCAGACGGACAGTTTGGTATTTTTTCTCTGGAGGCTTCGCGCGATCGTGTCCTTGCGCCGCAACCGATTTTTTTTTGCGCTCCTATCTCTACATACCTGTCTTATCATGGATGATATTGTATTGTTAACAAATCAAACCATCCTTTCTTCGACACTGTTATTATGTTTTTTTTTTTCCTTTCATGTTACGCAACCAACAACAAATCGTATGAATAAAAGCTACCAGTGTTTTACACGCGCTTGTATCCTGCACTGAATAGGTATAAGCATATACTTCTTTCGCCCACGCATTCGGCACGCCGCAAACATAAACGAGAGGGAAAGAACCAAGAAGAGAACGCACGTTTTTTCTTCTATTTATAAACTGGAGTGGTTTTTTTTTTCTTTCCTAAGTGTACGCACGTATATAAGCAGCAGCGTTGTTTTTTTTTCCTCCCACAAAATACATTTGACTTGTTACTTGCAATGGTAACGGTATACGTATATAGATATACGAACAAATGCATGCGCAAGGCAAATAGGCTTCCGACAGAATGTAATGTACATTGGGGAGAAAAAAAAAGAGGCTGTAGCTCTCCTCTCGATTCTCTTTTCCATCTCCGTCACACTGCACTTGTATTCATCTCCGAGGAACGTATTGTATGGATGAAAGTATAAAAAAGCACACTCTTTGCTCTCTCCTGTTCATACCATCATACGCGTGTTCGCTCGCAAACAATGTACATTCAAATTTCCGGATGCACCTATATGGATATGATATAAGTATACACGCGGATCGGCGACAATCCCCTTGATTGCAGACCTCGCTTCCTTTGGGTCCGATCTCCTTGCTACACTCGTTTACTGTTCGCTCGTTTTGCTCGCTAAATTACTAAGCGTGTACTTTGCACTTTTCCTTTTTTTAGATTTATGCGGGCTACAAAGGATAAATTAATGGACGTGGTATAAAGGGTGACGCCACCGCAATATGCTCATAAACGTACAAGTTGTACGATCGCTAGTTGAAAGTCTTTCGATTCGCGGTCCGATATATATTTCATATATACCAGGTTGGCTTCTCAACAAAATATTATGTGTTTACGCCGGAAAAGTGGAATTTCGTTTCCGCGCAACACCTGACTAGTACGATAACATCGATTTGGAAAAATAGCGTACATTGCAATATAATATCGAGTAGTGCATGCAATCGGCGCATAATTTACAATTTGATCGTCGCAGTTCCCACGATTATAATTAGAAATGTTTGTATTTATATACCTGAGCGTATTTTATCAATAAATTATGTGCACCGTGTGTATAGCGAGACTAAGCTGAGCTGAGAAAAATTGGTTTTTTTCTCCCATTACCCGACGATGTAGGAAAATATTGACCAACAGCAGCGTCAGACGATAAAAGACGGTGAAAGTAAGTAGTACGTATAGCAGCAGTTGTTGTTGTTGTTGGTAATTTCATTGGATGGATAGGTCACGGCAGGTTAATGGATTTGTACTAATTTGTACGTGTACTCGCGGGTGATTCAGATGATATAGGCTTATAAAAAAAAGAAAACCTACTACTTACTTACGAACCGCTCGATCTGTCGCCAATACGAGAAAAAGAAGCAACGCTCGAAACATTCATTATAATTATCATCAAAGCCAACTAATTTCATCCCCGAAGCCCAACTTTAATAATATCACAAGGTAAGTCTGCTGTAGTTTTTATTTTTTGTTTAATGTTTGTATTAGCGCAAACAACTAGTATCTAGTGAGAACATGTACGTAGAGCGGGGATTTCAGGGGGAGAACCGATAATTCGACTTACAGACTCCCGCGAACAGAAAGTCTTGATCTACTGGCTCTTGGGGCGCTATCGACAATGGCAAATGTATATTACAGGTATACCTGCCATACCTGTACCGTACACCATGATCACAAATATACTATTATGTATATATCTCAGGCTCACGGATCGCTTGTGCAGCTAGTGCAAACATTATTGCGGCATTAGTTAGTTACATCCAATGTACCTATACGTGGATACCTACAATGTATCGAAAGAAGTACGTATAGGTGCAGTACAGATGATATGTACGTACATAGGGACGATGACGACATGAAAATCGTAGAGACTCGTGCACCTGCACTTTAGCGAAGCTTAAAAATATCTGAAATTGGTCCCATATAATGTATCAGTGCATAAAAACACGAAAAAAAAAATAAAACAAAAAAGAGAAAATCCATAGATTATTTCCCTAATGCACGTCGATGCTGTAAAAAGTCGATTGAAAGCGCACATACAAATTACCCGGCCAAAGGGTCTTATCTTGAGTAACGCGAACAATCTCACGAGGCCCCGTGTAGGTATAGGTATACAGCCTTTACACGCGTGAGGTATACAAGTTTACTGCATACACTGCAGGCACGGCCAAAGGAAAGGAAAAGGAGAGGGCAGGCATCAGAGACAGGTAAATTACATTGTGAGGCCCCGCGAGTGGAGGCAAAGGACCGCACCAAGTCCCAGGTAGGCACAGGTAACCAGGCGAACAGGAGCTCGCAGGAGGTTTACTTCGAGCCCGGCGTAAGGCCCCAATTCTCTCTCTCTCTCTCTCTTCTCTCACCCCCTTCTTCCTTCACATGCTTGTAGATTTTTTTACTTTCTCTTCTATATACTATATAGATTCATACCACCTAAGTATATACCTGCGTTTCGTTGGGCATACGCGCCAATGTGCGAGATGTCGCGCGGAAACGGACGCGCTCCGTGCAGCCTATCTCGTGTTTGCATATATAGAGCCGGTCACCTCACCTTCGGACACCGGATCGAACGGTTTATGGATGTATATGCATAAAGTATAATAATGATGATGATTGTTCGTCGTGACTACTAACACAGCGAGCCGGTATGCCAATCACGACGCACAAAGTATGTATTTTATTAATTACAATTTATTCACTCGACTTTTTTTGAGCGCTTGCAAAATCTGCGAATCAAACTGATGGTTTTATTGAATTTTGTGGTTGTTGTTGTTGTTGTTGTCGGCTCGTGTGTTTATTAACTATCGCGCATCAATAACGCTTTCAAAACAATAACTCGCTGTGCGACGATTGTACGGTTGTTCGTCGCACACTGTGATTAGGTACAGCAAACGCGCTGTTATCGTGTATACTTGATCAAGGATCTCGCACGCAACGATTGTACATTCGATGATTGCGCACGAGTTGGTTTTTCGGCGGGTGAAACAGAGGGTCTCCAGTTCAATTTTTTTCAACGCCAATCACTCCGCTGGCGATTGACACAAACATATACTCACACTTGACGTGGGCGACTTGGCTCTCGAGCGGCATCCGCTCGAGCTCCGGGTCCTCCGCCGGTACGTGCACGACCCATTTGACAGTCCGGGCTTTCATCTGATGGGCAGAATAATAATAATCATTTTTTTTTATTAGTCGTTAACAGCTGAGAACGGGGAAGAAGAGTAAAAAAAAAATAAAATTCAGACGCTTGGGATGCTGAGCGTATGACGGGTCATTGACACACTCGATTGATAAAGGATCTTCCGGTGACTTTGGTTCTTCCCGAGCTTTATTCGGAACGATGTTCAGTTTTCTCGTGCAAAGTTAAATTAGATTTTTCATGCAATTTTGCGCTTTTACTGTTTTAAAAAGTGTCGAGAGACGTACCTGCGGTCCTTCTCTCCCGTTCATTGTCCGCGTGTGTCTTATTTGTCATTCGTCGGCTTCATCGTCACCCAATAATCCTTTCTTCTTTTGCAAGAGGTAACTGTGGACAATCGTTACAAACGTTAGTCGAAGTACATTTTTGCTTGCGTTTTAAAATTTAATTTACATACTTAAAAAATGTGTGGAAACAACGTCAGGATAAAACGCAGATCTCGCTCAACTGAAAAAAAATGTAAATTCTTCGGTGTCTCAGTTTTATTCTCTTTTGGTCACTGAAAACAAGTTTGAAAATATTTCAATTCGCAAAAAAGATACAAAAATCAATTCGATCAACAACATGCGTGTTACTGACATTTTCACCCTCTTCCCAAATTAAATGAAACCCCATCGTACGGTGCAGCGTGTCAGATTTCTTAAAAATTAAAAAAAAAAACAAACAAACTTTCATCTACCAATCATACTTGACAAATGCAAGTGTACACAGTGTGTATAATGACAAGCTCTCGTGACTTAATAAATATATAAAATACAATTGGTACTCAGCCGGCGTTTTTTTTTTGTTGGATTTTTATGAAAAAACACTTGTCAAAACATCCACGTAATCCACAAGTACACACATGTATCTCAATTATCACATTAAGTATACACGCGGCATCGAAAAGATAAGTACCCGCAATCTCTCGTGTATACGCCTAAACGTGTCGCAAAAACAGCGTCCGGTGCACGGAGCGTGCGATGATGTCGATGATAACGAAACCTTTGCCATTTCTCATTTTGCCACGCAGAGCTTCTTCCGATAAAACGAAGAAAATGTTCACTCACAATGAAACGACAACTGCCACCGAAGTGTACCATAGGAAACTCACTGATTCATCTCTCTCTGTTGTCCATTCACGCATGACATAACGAAACTACTTACTCACTCATTAATAACTTCAATTACGACCTGAATTCACATACAAACGAGCATCGCACACGCAACGCATACATCTACGGGGCACACGATGTCTCGTATAAATCCCTACACTCGCGGAACACGAGAAAATCAGCACAACATACTTGAAAAAAAAAAGCACAAGGTAGGTAAACAATTACATGAAACGAATCGGGCAAAAGTCGGAGCTGCGACTGATGTTGCGTTTAAAACTCGAAAACCGGCGCTAGATCTCATCTCTCTCTCTCTCTCTCTCCGCATTACATATATACTCTCTGGTACACGTATATACATTTACGTTTGTCAAATATACGTGCACGCGTGTATAGTTATAACGCACACACTTGACGCGCGGATAAGGGAGCTTCTTTCTCGCTCGCGCGCTCACGCCCACGCCACGCGGTGCAGCGATAAGCGTACAGTGTTTTCACGCAAATGCGTGTTTTTATTTGCACGCGTGTACATGCGTGTCTTTCGCGATGTTTAGGCCGCGGGGGACGTGTTTTGTTGTTGTTGGAGGCGATAGGGTCGGCCACGGGAGTACATATGCAAGGAGATACGCACTTGGCGAAGGGAAAGGAAGAGCGACAACGCGCGGCGTATGAGACCAAAACGATAAGGGATGCGTACCAAGAGCGAGTGACAGATTTATTGTTTGAACGAACAAGTGAGAAAAAAATAAAAACAATTTCGGGCAGGGAACTTTGCAAAAGTCGCGAAAGTAACTTCCGTCGTTTGTGTTTGTCAATGTGTTGTTTCGTCACATCAAAAAATTGGAGATTAACGATAAGGCAACAGAGGGTACGGGTTTTTACAAAAACAACCTCTACATTTGACGTTTATAGGTATAGGTGTAGGAAGATAAGGATCGATCGATCTACTAACAAAACGTAGCCTACACTCCTCCGGGATTGAACGAGATGTTTGTCCGTTATCGCTATTTGCAACAACACACCTTATCAACTACTACACCCAACCGTATGTACAGTACACTCAAAGCGTTAATAAACATGCGCTTACTTTTTTAAAAAGCTCAAATCACGATTATATATACTACAATGAAAGTCAAACTTTCCGGGTTCTCGCGCGCTTAATTGACTAGCCTCCCGAGTAGAAATGAAAGTAGACAGAGCCCAGCTTAAACGCATGGTCCAAATCAAGCAACCTGCAATGGTCGATTTTATTTTTATTAAACCATATAAGTAGAATATCTATACTTTTGGAGGTCTATTTTTGTGTAAAAGATATATTGTAAACTTGCCGCAAGTAGCACAAAAATTGTCAACTTTTTACTTTCTATTTAATAAATTAGTTGCGGCTGGTTTATAATTAATTAAATGGCTCTACTGTAAGTAGTAATAATTATTTGGATCAGCGCCATCTAGCGGTTTTTATTTTTTGGCCAAAAGTGGCTCCTAAAATTCTGAATCAGAGCAATCAGGATTAGAGCCATTTAATCAATTATAAACCAGCCGCAACTCGTGATAAAGCTATAAAATAAAAAAATAACAATACATGTATTTTTGGCGGCAAGTTAACAATCTATTTTCTACCAAAAAATCGACCTCCTATGTATTTATACTTTTGAAGATAAATTTTTGAGCATGAGATAGATTTTTCACTTGCCGCCAAAAACACATGTATCGTTATTTTTTTATTTTATAGCTTTATCATAAGTTGCGGCTGGTTTATAATTGACTAAATGGCTCTAATCCTGATTGCTCTGATTCAGAATTTTAGGAGCCACTTTTGGCCAAAAAATAAAGATCGCTAGATGGCGCTGATCCAAAATAATTATTGCTATTTACAGTAAAGTCACTTTATTAGTTATAAACCAGCCGCAAATAATCTTATAAACAGACAATAAATATTTGACATTTTTTGTGCTACTTGCGGCAAGTTTACAATATATCTTTTACCCAAAAATCGACCTTCAAAAGAATAAATATTCTACTTATCTTAATATGCTTATAAAATCGATAATATTTAAAAAAATTTAATACTCTAGACCTTTTACCATTAACTCATGTAAGCACAAATGAATCAGTCGAAAAGAGACAACTGAAGAAAAAAGGTCTTAAAAAGAAGCACAGTCACACGAAGAGTATCCTAGGAATGGAGCATCGGATCTCACTAAATAAAAAATACATTTATTACAGAGAAGTAAGTTTTAAGTAATATAAATAAACAAAGAACCCAACCTTCTCTGATCAAGTGAGATCCGATGCTCCATTCCTAGGAGACTCTTCGTGTGACTGTGCTTCTCTTTTAGGCCTTTTTTGTTTAGTCGTTTCCTCTAGACTGATTAATTTGTGCTTACATGAGTTAATGGTAAAAGGTCTAGAGTATTGTAATTTTGTAAATATTGTCGATTTTATGAGCCATATAAGATAAGTAGAATATTTATGGTTTTGGAGATTGATTTTAAGGTAAAAGATAAGTTGTACACTTGCCGCAAAAAGCATAAAAAATGTCAACTTTTTATTGTCTACCTATAAGATTAGTTGCGGCTAGTTTATAACTAATAAAGTGACTTTACTGTGAATAGCAATAATTATTTAGATCAGCGCCATCTAGCGGTCTTTATTTTTTGGCCAAAAGTGGCCTCTAAAATTCTCAATCAGAGCAATCTGGATTAGAGCCATTTAGTCAATTATAAACAAGCCGCAACTTATGATGAAGCTATAAAATAGAAAAATAACGATACATGTGTTTTTGGCGGCAAGTTAACAATTTATTTTTTACCAAAAAATTGATCTCCTATGTATTTATACTATTGAAGATAAATTTTCGAGCACAAGATAGATTGTTAACTTGCCGCCAAAAACACATGTACCGATATTTTTTTATTTTATAGCTTTATCATGAGTTGCGGCTGGTTTATAATTGACTAAATGCATGGCTCTAATCCTGATTGCTCTGATTCAGAATTTTAGGAGCCACTTTTGGCCAAAAAATAAAGACCGCTAGATGGCGCTGATCCAAACGAGTAGAGCCATGTTATCAAACCAGCCGCAACTAATCGTAATTATTAATGTACAATAAAAAGTTGACAGGGCTGCCCTAATAAATCTAAAATAAGAAAATTCTCCGCCAGGTAGCGCTAGTAGGTCTACAAAAATCACTATACTAGTGACAATAGGCTAGGGAATTTTTCTGAAAGTTTTAGGGGTACTTTTTAGTTCCCAATCAGAAACGCGAGATGGCGCTGGTTGTAACATTAGAGTGGTTAGAGGTTAGTATATTTTGTGGATCATCGAAGCGCGTGCGTTTTAGTTGTTATACGAAAAAAAGTACATGCTGGTGTCATTATCAACTTTTTTAGACTGATTTTTGTGTTTATACTCACTTAAAAACAATTTCACCATGTATTTGATGTATTATTTGGATGACAATGGTAATCGCATCTACACCCTAAAGGTAATTTTTGCACTATGTAAACGTTTATTAACTAGGTTTAGGTAACCGACTTAGGTTAGGGCGATTTGTTGTTCTGGTAGTTATGATGTATTTTTGCTAATTTAGTATATTTACTTATTACTTTTAATCAAAATATCGCACTGCAATTATGTCGCTTATCTACGTTATTAGTTTGCACACTCTTTAATCGGCAAGAGCTTTTTGACTGACCCCATCCATCTAACGTCCAAGAATTCCAAACGTTTAGAAATAATCAAAATCAATCGATGAAAGAGACTATTTAAAGACTCAAATTGCATAATGAAACTCATCTCTATAAAGAAACTGTAATTTAAATTTAGAGTACAACTGTTGCATGCCTGTTGGAAACCTATTAATATAACATAATTAACTCACGGAAAAGTATAAATAAATGAATTATTATAATGCAATGTACATCATTTATAACTTAAAACTTGCTATTTTTAGAAAATGGATCCTTATGGAAAACCTACTCTGTCTGCACATCCAGGTAAATAAAAATATTTTAAAATCCCGTCTCTTGTTTATCACAGCTCTAAGTGTCCCATTGTAATTGTTGCAGCGCGATTTTCTCCAGAAGATAAATATTCCAAGGAAAGAATCACGCTGAAACGCAGATTTGGGTTGCTTCCAACACAGCAACCAGCACCTGCTTATTGAAAAGTGAAATATCATATTAACTTGAAAATTTTTATTTTCATTGTACATAAAACAACATAATTAACGCATGGTCCAAATCAAGCAACCTGCAATGGTCGATTTTATTTTTATTAAACTTGTTGTTGTTGTCGGCTCGTGTGTTTATTAACTATCGCGCATCAATAACGCTTTCAAAACAATAACTCGCTGTGCGACGATTGTACGGTTGTTCGTCGCACACTGTGATTAGGTACAGCAAACGCGCTGTTATCGTGTATACTTGATCAAGGATCTCGCACGCAACGATTGTACATTCGATGATTGCGCACGAGTTGGTTTTTCGGCGGGTGAAACAGAGGGTCTCCAGTTCAATTTTTTTCAACGCCAATCACTCCGCTGGCGATTGACACAAACATATACTCACACTTGACGTGGGCGACTTGGCTCTCGAGCGGCATCCGCTCGAGCTCCGGGTCCTCCGCCGGTACGTGCACGACCCATTTGACAGTCCGGGCTTTCATCTGATGGGCAGAATAATAATAATCATTTTTTTTTATTAGTCGTTAACAGCTGAGAACGGGGAAGAAGAGTAAAAAAAAAATAAAATTCAGACGCTTGGGATGCTGAGCGTATGACGGGTCATTGACACACTCGATTGATAAAGGATCTTCCGGTGACTTTGGTTCTTCCCGAGCTTTATTCGGAACGATGTTCAGTTTTCTCGTGCAAAGTTAAATTAGATTTTTCATGCAATTTTGCGCTTTTACTGTTTTAAAAAGTGTCGAGAGACGTACCTGCGGTCCTTCTCTCCCGTTCATTGTCCGCGTGTGTCTTATTTGTCATTCGTCGGCTTCATCGTCACCCAATAATCCTTTCTTCTTTTGCAAGAGGTAACTGTGGACAATCGTTACAAACGTTAGTCGAAGTACATTTTTGCTTGCGTTTTAAAATTTAATTTACATACTTAAAAAATGTGTGGAAACAACGTCAGGATAAAACGCAGATCTCGCTCAACTGAAAAAAAATGTAAATTCTTCGGTGTCTCAGTTTTATTCTCTTTTGGTCACTGAAAACAAGTTTGAAAATATTTCAATTCGCAAAAAAGATACAAAAATCAATTCGATCAACAACATGCGTGTTACTGACATTTTCACCCTCTTCCCAAATTAAATGAAACCCCATCGTACGGTGCAGCGTGTCAGATTTCTTAAAAATTAAAAAAAAAAACAAACAAACTTTCATCTACCAATCATACTTGACAAATGCAAGTGTACACAGTGTGTATAATGACAAGCTCTCGTGACTTAATAAATATATAAAATACAATTGGTACTCAGCCGGCGTTTTTTTTTTGTTGGATTTTTATGAAAAAACACTTGTCAAAACATCCACGTAATCCACAAGTACACACATGTATCTCAATTATCACATTAAGTATACACGCGGCATCGAAAAGATAAGTACCCGCAATCTCTCGTGTATACGCCTAAACGTGTCGCAAAAACAGCGTCCGGTGCACGGAGCGTGCGATGATGTCGATGATAACGAAACCTTTGCCATTTCTCATTTTGCCACGCAGAGCTTCTTCCGATAAAACGAAGAAAATGTTCACTCACAATGAAACGACAACTGCCACCGAAGTGTACCATAGGAAACTCACTGATTCATCTCTCTCTGTTGTCCATTCACGCATGACATAACGAAACTACTTACTCACTCATTAATAACTTCAATTACGACCTGAATTCACATACAAACGAGCATCGCACACGCAACGCATACATCTACGGGGCACACGATGTCTCGTATAAATCCCTACACTCGCGGAACACGAGAAAATCAGCACAACATACTTGAAAAAAAAAAGCACAAGGTAGGTAAACAATTACATGAAACGAATCGGGCAAAAGTCGGAGCTGCGACTGATGTTGCGTTTAAAACTCGAAAACCGGCGCTAGATCTCATCTCTCTCTCTCTCTCTCTCCGCATTACATATATACTCTCTGGTACACGTATATACATTTACGTTTGTCAAATATACGTGCACGCGTGTATAGTTATAACGCACACACTTGACGCGCGGATAAGGGAGCTTCTTTCTCGCTCGCGCGCTCACGCCCACGCCACGCGGTGCAGCGATAAGCGTACAGTGTTTTCACGCAAATGCGTGTTTTTATTTGCACGCGTGTACATGCGTGTCTTTCGCGATGTTTAGGCCGCGGGGGACGTGTTTTGTTGTTGTTGGAGGCGATAGGGTCGGCCACGGGAGTACATATGCAAGGAGATACGCACTTGGCGAAGGGAAAGGAAGAGCGACAACGCGCGGCGTATGAGACCAAAACGATAAGGGATGCGTACCAAGAGCGAGTGACAGATTTATTGTTTGAACGAACAAGTGAGAAAAAAATAAAAACAATTTCGGGCAGGGAACTTTGCAAAAGTCGCGAAAGTAACTTCCGTCGTTTGTGTTTGTCAATGTGTTGTTTCGTCACATCAAAAAATTGGAGATTAACGATAAGGCAACAGAGGGTACGGGTTTTTACAAAAACAACCTCTACATTTGACGTTTATAGGTATAGGTGTAGGAAGATAAGGATCGATCGATCTACTAACAAAACGTAGCCTACACTCCTCCGGGATTGAACGAGATGTTTGTCCGTTATCGCTATTTGCAACAACACACCTTATCAACTACTACACCCAACCGTATGTACAGTACACTCAAAGCGTTAATAAACATGCGCTTACTTTTTTAAAAAGCTCAAATCACGATTATATATACTACAATGAAAGTCAAACTTTCCGGGTTCTCGCGCGCTTAATTGACTAGCCTCCCGAGTAGAAATGAAAGTAGACAGAGCCCAGCTTAAACGCATGGTCCAAATCAAGCAACCTGCAATGGTCGATTTTATTTTTATTAAACCATATAAGTAGAATATCTATACTTTTGGAGGTCTATTTTTGTGTAAAAGATATATTGTAAACTTGCCGCAAGTAGCACAAAAATTGTCAACTTTTTACTTTCTATTTAATAAATTAGTTGCGGCTGGTTTATAATTAATTAAATGGCTCTACTGTAAGTAGTAATAATTATTTGGATCAGCGCCATCTAGCGGTTTTTATTTTTTGGCCAAAAGTGGCTCCTAAAATTCTGAATCAGAGCAATCAGGATTAGAGCCATTTAATCAATTATAAACCAGCCGCAACTCGTGATGAAGCTATAAAATGAAAAAATAACAATACATGTGTTTTTGGCGGCAAGTTAACAATCTATTTTNGCTTGTCTAAGCTGTGAAAAGTAGATACAGAAAACACAAGAATCATAAAATTATGAGAAACCAAAGGAAATTTGAGCACCAGTATACTGAAAAGCCGAATCAAGTAATAGTTTCAAATACCAAATACTGCATCACATCGTTGAAATCGGGTTAGTAGACAATTTTAGTCAAGAATAAGAAATAGGCAAGAAGCGATAGTTGATGCACGAAAAATTAATTATTTACCGAGTAGTCTGTAACATCGAAATTGCACCAGTAGACGTTACTTTCCTTCTCAACCTTTTCCAAGTCTCTTATGTGCAGAGGATCATCGACAACACTTTTACTCGCCTGCTTGGAAAAACGTCATATCAGCAAGTTTAAGTTATGCCTGAATTTGAGCATTATAGATTGGGGTTTGTAACGTTACCTCGTCGCTATTACTTTCATCGACATCCTCGATATCCTTGATGGCAATATATTTAACACGGAACTCTGTTTTGATAGGAATGGGCGATCGTTCGTCCTCGTTGCCGATCTCAACTTCCCACATAAAGGACACGGACATGCCATTGCCGATAATGAGCTTCTGACCAGCCGTTGGATTCAAACTACGAAATTGAACGTCAGCCGATGTGCCACTCGTCAGTCGAGGATCCGTTAGCTGTAACAACTGTTTTGCCAATCCGATGACTACTATCTGCACAAACTTTCGTCGCTTGGCCGTGTGTAGCTTCATCGTAGACATCAACGGAGTGCCAAAGTACAAAGTTATACTTTCCTCTGCACCCCATGGACATTGTATGTTTAACTACAAAAGAAGTATGTTTAGAAATTTTTTTACCAAGTGCTCAATAGAAATCAAATCTAAGACAAAGGACATGCCTTGTGCTCCATAGATGACGAGTCCTTTTTTGGCGGCAATTCCGCCAAAACCATAAGTTTAAGCGTTATCGTGTCGAACGGTTCGCACTTTGGTATTGTCACCTCGATCTCTCTCACTCCGCTGCTAGTTTTCTGACCATCATCCATTGTGGACAACGTCAAGCCCCTCAATGTTCTTAACTTTAACTTGGAGCCCTCACCTATCCTTATACTACCACTGGATATCACAAGCTCAATACTTTGAACCAGCCCTGCTAGTAAATCTTTACATTCATTTCAAAGCTCAGATAACTAAATAAAAATAATTTTACAAATAAAAACAATATTTAACAATTGGTTCATGTATTTACATCTCTATCAACTATCTTCACATAGCTTTGTGTTTTTTTCTTTACAAACTATCTTTATATGTACATTGAAAGACAAGAAATGTACTATAATTTTTCCATATATAGCCTACCAGCATGTATATGCAAATCTTTTACATATTTACAGATAATCATACATTAACATGTTTTATCCATTGTAAATTAAAGTCAACAAAGAGAAAGTTTGTTCAACTTTAAAAGAAACAACAATAAACAATATTTGCAACGCAGAATGGCAACAAGATTTTTAATACTCAGTAAATGAATACATACAAAACCTAAATGCTTTCTCAGCTTCACTCTTCCTTTCTTTGTAAACTAAATTTACTAAATAAGAAAAAACTATATTCAAAAACTAATGTTCAAGTTGGGTTTTGCTCCAAGTTTTTAAAAAACACGTTAGATCATTAAAAAATCTAATGTTAAAACAAATAAATTAAAGCCTTGAAAGCTCTGTCTGTGCAGTCATATCGATCTGAATATTTCACAAACACAAAACTAATAATATTAACGTTGAAACTTCATTCTGTGGTTAACGGAGCAGCTGGAAGCACGTGAATTTGCAGAGCCTTGCTAGCGTTATACACCTGACCTGTTCTGAATGGCTCTAGTCTTGGACCAACACCAGTTCCTGTATCGTTTGATTAAACAATTTTATTATTAGATGTGAATCAAAAATATTTTGATGGTAAATAATATTTGTAATAATTCGCATAATTCATGGGAATGCGTTGACTAATTTTTCTAATTATAAAGCTCAAGAAAATAAAAATACATTTAGAATAAAATTTGTGGACACTTAATAAAAGTTATCACTATGCTCGTATTACGTCAAGCTTAGTTTGTTTGAGATGACTTCGACTGCAATCATGATGTAATGAACACTGATATTCTAAACTAAACAGGTTTTACTACAGAAGACGAAAAAAGGTTATTAAAATAGAAAAAAATCAAAAGGCTCGCTTGATCTTCTTCTCTTGAAAGAAAGCACACACAAACGTACACACAAAGAAATAGCGAGAAATTGAAAAACTTTCTGGGGCATGTATGAATTACCATTCTTGAGTTCAACAGCAGCTGGAATATATCTGGATAACCGGACGACAGGCAAAGGAAGGTATCCACTCGTCAACGGCATCACATCAAGTGCTACGCTTTGTTTTTCTTGAACTTCAAGAGACACAATACCAGCTGTGCGTCCACACACAGCCCACATCGTTTGGTCAGCCAACACCTCGTACATAAGTTGGGGTGGCGGATGGTGGTGCTGATGTTGCTGCATGCGGGTGACTGTCAAGCACAGATGACACATACTTCCTGCCCGACAAAACTCGCCACTACTTCCTATGGCTTCAACTTTCGACGAGACCATGAACAGCGTCTGGAAAATTCAAGTTCGCACGCGAATGTGCACAACACCCCATGTTCCTCACTCAAATTCTTTCACTCTCATGTGGTCTTGTAAGTTTTGTTTTTCTCAATAGAGATGCAGACATACATCCGTATTAGAATATCGGATTTTTGCTTACGGTTGTCTATTCAGTTTAGATTTTTTAGCAGTTGCAATTATATGTCAATATATTTAGCAAATCATGCAGGCTTCAGTTAGATACAAAATTAGCAGATGGTCGTGAGATGCTTGCAATGAGAGATGCGTATTTGATAAGAGCAGTAAATTTTTTTGCTTGTCTAAGCTGTGAAAAGTAGATACAGAAAACACAAGAATCATAAAATTATGAGAAACCAAAGGAAATTTGAGCACCAGTATACTGAAAAGCCGAATCAAGTAATAGTTTCAAATACCAAATACTGCATCACATCGTTGAAATCGGGTTAGTAGACAATTTTAGTCAAGAATAAGAAATAGGCAAGAAGCGATAGTTGATGCACGAAAAATTAATTATTTACCGAGTAGTCTGTAACATCGAAATTGCACCAGTAGACGTTACTTTCCTTCTCAACCTTTTCCAAGTCTCTTATGTGCAGAGGATCATCGACAACACTTTTACTCGCCTGCTTGGAAAAACGTCATATCAGCAAGTTTAAGTTATGCCTGAATTTGAGCATTATAGATTGGGGTTTGTAACGTTACCTCGTCGCTATTACTTTCATCGACATCCTCGATATCCTTGATGGCAATATATTTAACACGGAACTCTGTTTTGATAGGAATGGGCGATCGTTCGTCCTCGTTGCCGATCTCAACTTCCCACATAAAGGACACGGACATGCCATTGCCGATAATGAGCTTCTGACCAGCCGTTGGATTCAAACTACGAAATTGAACGTCAGCCGATGTGCCACTCGTCAGTCGAGGATCCGTTAGCTGTAACAACTGTTTTGCCAATCCGATGACTACTATCTGCACAAACTTTCGTCGCTTGGCCGTGTGTAGCTTCATCGTAGACATCAACGGAGTGCCAAAGTACAAAGTTATACTTTCCTCTGCACCCCATGGACATTGTATGTTTAACTACAAAAGAAGTATGTTTAGAAATTTTTTTACCAAGTGCTCAATAGAAATCAAATCTAAGACAAAGGACATGCCTTGTGCTCCATAGATGACGAGTCCTTTTTTGGCGGCAATTCCGCCAAAACCATAAGTTTAAGCGTTATCGTGTCGAACGGTTCGCACTTTGGTATTGTCACCTCGATCTCTCTCACTCCGCTGCTAGTTTTCTGACCATCATCCATTGTGGACAACGTCAAGCCCCTCAATGTTCTTAACTTTAACTTGGAGCCCTCACCTATCCTTATACTACCACTGGATATCACAAGCTCAATACTTTGAACCAGCCCTGCTAGTAAATCTCTTGTGCAATTCAATGCGATGGTTGGTTGCGTTTTGGCTACCTATACACAATAAAATGAGTACATGGTTATAACGAAGAAAATAAATTCGTCTGATTGAATAAAAACTACTAACTGAATAGCACAGTTGCGGTTGAAGTACTGAAGACAAAAATTCCAGCTTCTCCTCTACAATTACAGACAACTGGTTTACCCTGTAGTAACCAGGTTTTTCAACTCTTTTTGTCAGAGTCAATGTATTAAGGCCTGGTTGAAGAATTATCTCTTCTACACCGGTACTGAGAGCACTGCCAAAATCTCCCTTGGTACTTGCACTGGTCGAGGGCTTGCGTAGTTTTACACTATCGGAACGCTTTACCACTGACCTAGTGCTTTTCCCGACTTGCACGTTTGCCGAGCCGATACTGCGATCTTCTTGAAGTATCAACTGTCGTGTCACGGGCAGCTCAACCAGACACGGATCACTTGGTTGTCTGTCCTCGATCCGGCACTTGAGTAATCTGAAAGTAACGAAAAGTTTCACATAAATCAGATGATTAATTAAACACAGTGATGAGCAAATCTTACACTTCAATAATCGATTCAGTGCCTTTAGCTCCTTTTCTCTTAACGTTGGGCTTTTGTACCTCCTCGACCGAAAGCTCAGCTCTTGTACACGTGACTGGCCTAGGCAGCAAACTCTTCAGTGTAGTTTTCACCTTCACCTCGCAATCCTGAATGACCTTATCCGTAACACTGACCTCCATGTCCTCAACGACAAAACTATTGGCCATATCCGTCAAAAGCGGCTCGGTACATTTGAGCATTTTTGTATAAGCGAGCATCTCATCCAGGTACGAGTTGCGAATCGTGAGATGCAGAACTTGGCTACTGGCTATCGTTGCGCATATTTTGGTGTACCGCTCGACGTCGTCCATTTTTTTGTAACACTGGGCCAACTCGTGTTGCGTTTGAGCTGCCAGGTGCGTCCAGCCTTCGCTCGTGTAAGTCTGAAGAGCATCCAGTAGAAACACAACGGCTTTTTGATTTTCGTTCAAGTCGCTGTAAAAGCGCGCAAGCTCCTTGCCGATCAACCGAGCCGATCTATTGCGTTTCACGTGCTTGTATGTACCCATTGCTGTGTATAAAAAAATCATTCACTCATCGTGTTCATTATCTACGAGCGAAAAAATCATTTGCATAATTACCCAATTCGGTGTGATGTAAGTATTGCTTTTTAAAAGCCTCCTTAGACGACAGAGCTTCCTTTAGTTTATCCGTGGGTGTAAGCTGCTTAGGATCGTGATTTTTGAGCTCGGAATCACCCATGCCCGCAATGAGGTATACAACTGTGTGCAGCTGTTCGCTTATTGGCTCGTTTCCAGGCATCAGGCCGCAAAGCTTGCCCAGGCTCTCAAGCTACAATCGACCGTTTTAGACTTTGTTTGATAAATATTTGGAAATTTCGCGGGTAAAAGAAAACAAAGTTAAAATTAACTTTAGAAACGATTGAGAACTTTCATCAATTGATTTAGTTATGCTGAAATTGAGCTTGTGTGATTAAAAAAAAAAAAATAATAAAATAAAATAAATAACAGCAACAATTCATGAGAATATTATGTGATTCATGACTCGTAGATGACGTGTATTTGATAGTTATTGGTGAATCGTACCTTGTCTCTTGCGAGCGCCCACAAGGTGGCTGTATGCAGTGAACACAAGTCCAGTAATTGACTATTATCAATGGTTACGTTTGACGATTGGCACGCTTTTAACACTTCGAGTGCGCACAAAAAGGCCCAACACTCGACTGAGCCTTCAGGTCGTTGAATCTCGAGTATACGCAATTCATTTATTGTATCGTGAACGAAACTTAAGCAACGCTGGGCAATCTGCAAAAGTATAATAATCCTCGTTAATTCTTAATAAAACGTTTCTTGATGAAACACATTGTTACATAAGACATTAGACTTACTTCCCAATGTTTGTTCAATGAAAGTAACATAGCGCACTGTCTGCTAAACAAATAACTTCTTAGGTCTAACAACGAAGCTTTGCATTCGGCTATCGCAATCCTCGTTTGATAATCTACACTCGTGTTAAGCTTTACTCCAGACCATTTGTTCAATGGGCTTTGAAATGAGCTCAACCATGCTGGAGTGTCTAAAAACATTGCATTGATTACTTATCAGTTTTTCAAAATGGTAATAACAAAATAATCTTCCTTACCTCCAACATTCGAATTTAAAATAAATTGTGTGAAGAGAGCATCTAATTCATCATATTGTACTAATGCTTCATCATATAAACCTAACATTTCCAATACAAAAGCTAGTTCTTCCTGCAGTAGAAAATAATGGCAAAAATTCCAGCCAGGCTGGTTTCTTTTCTCTCGGTGTTCTCTTATTATCTCTTCGAATTTCAATAGAGTTCGATCGTAAGCAGTAAGCATCAAGTGTCTTATTCTGGTTATTAAGCCCCTCCATGACTCAGCTGATCGAGATTCGGACTTTATTGGATTGATGATTGATAGACATCTACCGAGAAAACAAAATTGCTTGGGTAATTGTAATTTTTTAACATGTTGCTATTACCAAATTTTATTAATTTTACCTGTCTCCATGTTTCGCAGCAAAATCACTACGTATTTTGTCTAAGACAGTTGTTCTCGGTAATAATTTATTACTTTTTTTTATGTCATATGTTTCCACCAAAACTATCATCCAATCTTGAATTTTTGCTTTTGCCAATGTTTTAAACCATGAGTCTATGTCGTCTTTTAGCGATGCCTTGTATACATCAACGTCCTGTAAATAATATCGTGATATAAAAAATTACAATTTGAATATTTGATTTAAAAAATCACAACTCACCGAGCATTCACTCCAGTAAATGTGAAAAATAGGCCTTTTGATGAGATGACAGTCTTTTTCTGAGGGTAATACATCTTGCGAAAAAGGAACAAATGAAGCACAAAGTTTGACTTGTTTAATTGGTCTGTCAAACGACCTTCTCCATTCAACCGAGTCTGTAGGAATAGATTTCACCAAATTGTCTGCCAGAGTATTCAACAGTTTTATGTCTCCTGCGCCTAAAAATGAACGTAATCAATAACAACACGATAGTATTGCAAATTATACTTTTAGTACACGAGAACATATTTATAAAATTCTTATTACATCCATACAATGTAGTACAAGTCATCGTACAAATGCTAAGTATGCTAATCATCTGATTTTTCGTGTGACACACATACAAGTTTACGGATAATTAAAACACAAGTATGCACGCAAAACATTTAAATTTAAAAACAATCATCTCTGCACAACTGCTGCGTCACTTTTGCTCTAATTTGGTTCACAGAAACAAAAATTCATTGACAAAAACCTTTTATGACTTAAGTACATGACTGAAATATATAATGACATCTGACATCTCCGTATGGCCCAAAACTCAAGTAATTAAATGAGCAGCTGTGACAGAGCTTTTAAGAGTGGGCGTATCAACAATAACAAAACAAACCCAATACTCAAAACATCTGTACATCGCACTGCATATCCAAGAAAAACATTTCATATAAATCTAATTTTTTGTAATGAAATAGAAAAAAAAAATTAGACTAAGAATACTTGGCACTTGAAAACGATCAGAAAAAAAAACTCACAGGTGACAATTGGCGTACAATCCATTGATGATGATAACGATCCAGCCGATCCAGCGTCGCCGTTGTCTGAACTGCTAGGGATAGAGTAAGGGATCCTCTGCTGATGTTGCTCTGCTACTGCTGCTGCTGTAGCTGTAGCAACTTCAGGCAGGCCTCCATTGCAGCTCATGTCTAACCTTTTATTTTTTACTCATCACAATTTACTGTATTTTTTCTTTCTTTTCGTTGCTTCTTCTACGTTATTCACTTATTAACATACACTACTTGAGTACATGCTGCTTTTTATCTTTTTATTTCAACTGTTATCAAGGCAATATACGTCCAACCTTGCGTACGCGGTTGTATACGCATATCTGCATACAAGGCAAACACTAACTACAATAACAATACGGTATAATATATACATGCCACAATATATACATGTATACATATGTGTTATGTATATTTTTTATTTTTTTTCTATTTCCTTTTTTGTAACATATATTAACTAACAACTTTCTTTTTCACTTGAGCTGGTTTAAAAAATAAATCCATTCGGCAAAACATTTTTAAACAAAGAAGGACACATTCTTATGGCTAGAAAATTTAAAAAAGTGAATAATTGTCTGATTTTTCTCATAAAATAGTGGGTACAAAAAACCATTTTATATCAATTTCATAAGGATTGAGGGTTAAATATTTTTGTTGCATAATTTATTTATAAAATGTTTTATAAGAAATTTTATAAAATAAATTTTGCAGAGTTGGAAACGATTATTGTATGTAGTTTATACTCGGCCGAGTGATTTATTTTTAATTATTATACAGCAATCATGATTACGAAATTATAATAGTTTGCATAATTAGTAAGACAATGCAATGAAATTCATGCTACTATACATTTTTTTGTAAATAGTAAGGGATTGTTTAAACAAAAAATAATTTTTTTTAAGAAAAATGCTATAACAATTATTTCCAGTCTCAATTAGTGGATTAAATAACGAGACGTCGACATAAATTTTGGTGAATGACATTTGTCTCGTGTTATTTACTAAATACCCAATTGCCGCAAAATGTTAACTTATTTCTATGATTAAATATTATTCACTGTTTATCATCATTTTTAAGATTAAAACACTTATTTAAATTCTACGAAAAACAAAAAGTTGATTTTCAAAGTCTACACAAAAATAAATTGTTTTTTAAATAAATAATTGTAGCAAAGGATTTCACAGAACACAGTAGTTAAAGAGGCTGTAAATTAAAACGTCCAACCACAATATTCTTGTACTATCTAGTTTGAAAATAATTGGTTTTTTTATTTATTTTATTTTTTTCATAGTAAAATTATGAAGCACTCCAGGAGAAAAGAGAAAAAAAAAACAATTGGCTTCATAAAACTGCTTTTAATTGAAAGTTACGTTCATTCAAACGTTAAAAAAAAACTAAATAATGCTACGGACGTGAAAATTATTGGAACTTGAAGCAGTAAGATGCCCTTAGAAAAAAAAAAAATTAATAATTTCAAGCTGTAGCGTCGACAGCACAAATAATATACACAAGAAGTATAATTCACATGAAAAAATCTCGTGTAATAATTATTACTCTGAAGCAATCGTAATGTAAAATGCATGAAAAATATATGTATGTGGCGACTATAAGATAAAACAATAATTATACACATGTATTATTTAATGCTTTATTTTCTGTGCTAATAACATGTCCCGCAAAATTACTTCGCTGTAATCGCTACACGAATAATAAATAATTCGAGACGTGAATACGAAAACATGCGCAGGAAGAAGAAAAAATGCTTCGTGTTGAACAAAAAGCTCCCCAATTAAATGTTATCCGAGTGCAGAAGCAGCTGATAATGGGTGAACGAACTCATTCTCCCCTAACATCGTATTTTTTTTTAATTATTGTTTTAATAACAGAAACTTTAATAGTTTATCCGTGCAAAGCTGGAAGATTGTATTTGAATAGTACTCTTATCTTTTGTTTGTGTACTACGTGATGAGGTACGTAAATTTTTATCTAAACATTTTATCAAGTCAAGGTGAACCAAAATCTTGAAAAACATTTTTTGCCCACTATAAATCTCAAAAATGTAGCACTTGTTCTCATCTTGGTTTCTTTGACAAGTTCAACTTTACGAGAGGCCTTTTTTTTTACTCTAGAAAAAGAGATGTCCGTTAATTGATTGCATTAAAAAAAATTTTTTAGACATATTAATATAGCGATTTATGTTTATAAATAATAACAGTGCCAATTATGTTTGACGATAATAAACTTGAACACGCACAACAAAAGAGATTTAACTAAGAATCATAAGGTTTAGAATTTAATAAATCATTGTTTTTATTTTCTATAAAATATATATTTACATATTGGTATTCTTTTTCTACATTGATTGCGTAAAATGTCTTCATTTTAATTCTTTTAAAATTCCTTGTATCTACCAATATGAAATCATTGTTGGCGCGATTGTAATATCCCAGTTTCATTGAAAACAATGACAATGTTTTAATAATATTTTAATAGTGATGTGTTCACCAATAAAATAATCTGGCTCGGACAGTTTTGTCGAACATATATATCTAAAGGTATGTGCTAGTGCTAATATTAAGTTTTAAAATACATACATTAAAACATACAAGCAAAATATTTATCATGTGCACGACTAATATAACATTATTTATCTAGAAAATCGAAAGATTTGTTGGGAGTCATATAACGCTGCGATGCTTCAAATTCATCACAAAGTTGTGTTACTACAAATCTTATTGCTGGATGTATATATATAATAATATTTATGATTCGTAAGATTTTTCTTAATGTATCAATACATCACCTAAAAAGAAAATTTTTAGCTTCAAGTACTATAAATTATGTTGTAAAAATATTTATCACAATCATTTATTTAATTGAGGATAAATTTAGTTGAAGATCAAACGAACTTACCTGTAAGTGAAGTTCGATCGAAATTATACGAAGAGCCTCGTTGGAGAGTCTAGTTTTTAATGATGTTTATAATATTTTTAATGGTAATTTAATGATGTTTATGTACAATTCTATTAAGTAATTAAAACGATTGATAATACCATTTTTTTTTTTTAATGCAAAATGTTTTTTAAATTAATTTTTATGAAGCACAATCTCTCGGTCATTTCGCTGAGTTTGCCTACCTGACACAGTAGAAAACGAGCTCACTGACTACTTGCTCAAACATTTCTGTACAAATTTTAAACAAATCAAGTCCTAAATTGTGGAACCCCCCCCCCCCAAGACCCCCTCAAGTTGTCTTAGTTGTCAACATAAAATTTTCACAAGGCCATCGTCGTTCGGTTTGATTGCAAATAAGTAGCTGCAACAAAGTTGCGGACCTACTTACTACGTGTATATATTATATACACAGCCAAAGATAAACACAGATGAATTTGCCGAGGTAATGCGAGCCCATTTTCATCCATAATGAGACGAACGAACAGATCGCATGAGCATTTTCAAGGCAAACACATGAGTCCAGTGATTTTAAATATATACCTGTAAAACAAATTTTACTTTGGATCATCGTAAAAGCAATGGGTGGGACAAAAGTCGAAGATCCGAGGGAATCCGATGATTTGCAGCATTCGGTGCTATTGTCGCGGTGTCTACTAATACCGTTGGGCCTGTGGCCCATCAATTCAAAGAACTATCCACCATTTTTGCGACTGATTTTGATCGGTATTTGTATAGTTTTTTGTTGATTTTCTTGTTCATGCCGAGCTTACTTCACATACTCCTCGTCGAAAAGGATTTCAAGGTATGCCAAGTTTTCATGGACTGTTATTGAAGCACTCAAGAGTCGATGTAGCACAGTTTGTGTGGACGCACGTCATTATCGAGCGACTGGACCGAGGTGGTCTCGAGACAAACAACCCCAAAACAGTTAATGGTATAAATGTTACCCAAGATTTTCATTTCTTGTAAGCTTTTGTATAATTTATGGACCCAACATCGCGCTCATTGGGGTAAGCATATACTTATAAGAACACGAAGTTGAAACTTATTCCACGTGGTGTCAAAAAGCATGATTTGTCTTACATTAATTAATTATCAGGGTTTTCGTGGAATTAATAAAGGTGAGGTTTTTTTTTTTTCATTCAGTCAAATTGGCCTACCACCAAAGACACTTATAAACACTTTCGTCACTGGACATTTGTCGCTTCGAAAATTTCCAACCGCTTTGCTAGTGTTCCGATGTTTTCCTACAAACCTTATTCGTTTGTAAACGTATTTTATTTAAAATTATCGTGAAACAATTCCTCACTTGTGTTCCTTCTATATGTACCAATGTTCCTCGTGTTGAAATCGGTACTTCAAATGTACCTACTTATCGTAAAATAAAAGAACTGCGCAGCTTTTACGTTAACAAAAGCAACGAAACACTAAATCACGTGGTATATGTTGTATGGGCGCACTGTATATGGTAAAACACGTAATGTTCCTACACAATCGTTAGCCATTGAACTTCACGATGATGAGCCTGTGCAAGTACTTTGGAATGCTGCGCAAGGAGCGCGACATCCGTAAATGCGTGTCGCGGATGGCTCAAGACTGGAAAGACATCCAAGACTCAGGAGAACGAGATGTGATGCTCACAATCGTACTGCCGATCGTCCTCGACACAATAGTCATCGGCAACAACACCGTCAGACCATTTTCGTTTCAAGGCTACTTTGTTTTCTTCGATCCGCACGTGAGTCTTTGGCCAACCGACATCGGTCCACCTTGTATATGTATCCTATCGTGGGTTTTCACGTTGACTCTGGAGTCCAGACTTTGCAGTTGCCAGACCGTTGCCTTTTGCAGTCTCGCCATACTGTTCGTTTTGGACATATGCGGCCAAATAGCCGTCACTACCGCGAGGCTGCGGAAACTCGCTGACCGGTTCGACGACGAAGCGCTGGGCGACATCGTCAGAAAGCACATAAAAGCTCTGAGGTATGGTCAAGTGTAAAATAATTTTTAAAAAAATCCTTCACACCTAATTTTGATTAAATTATTATACTATTACTATTTTTTATCACTGCCGATCGTTTTTAAATCATAAGTTTGTAAAACTCGTTTGATGCTCAAAAATAGATTTGCTTCCAACTTGGAGATAATGCTGTCTGGAATGTGTTTGGTTGAATTATTCGGTTGCGAATTTAGTTTGTGCATGCTCGGATATTATTCTATTACCGTAAGAATACATATACTCAACCATTGTACAAAAAAAAAAATTTATCGTGTATCGATACATGTGCTGCTTGTCATTTAAGTGTGTCTTCTTGTTGCAGGAACTTCAAACTAGTTCAATAATTAATGTTCCATCGCTGTGCTTCATATTATTAATATTCATTTCGTTTGCCTTCAACATCTACATACTATGTTTCGTTTTGGCAACTTTTTGACCGACTCTGTAAATATCTATGTGCTTCGAACGTAAAATGTAACAAAACAATATTACCGATGTACTGAGCTATATTTGCTACTTGTTTCGTTAAATGTTTCAGTGTAGCAATTTAGGTAGGATTGCATATAACATAGGCTGGTACGAGTTGTCTGGAAAAAAAAAGCCCGGAATCTTGTCCTCGTGATCGCTTCGACGCATCGGCCTGTTATGATCACTGCAGGAAAATTAATGTCTTTTTTACTCATGAATTTTACCACTGTAAGGACCATTTTTAAATTCAAGTGAATGATGAATAATAACTGTACAAGCTAGAAAATTTTTGCAGATCATCAAGGTTTCTTTCACCTATTTGAACATGCTGCGAACTGTCACGGCAAATGAAAAATGATGCCAAAATACGTCATGGTTGTATTTAAAAAAAAAAAAAAAAAAAGAAGTATTTCTTAGCTGAAAAACTTAGCATCAACAATATTTCTTTACTTTTGCACTTACTGTGAACTTCGTGTAGTTTGAAATGCATATCGCATTATTTTGGAATTGTAGCTAAATTACAAAGACCTTCTGAGCAATTTGGCCTTCGTTCCAATTATTTCATGCATTTTTAATATCCCTTTGCTGACATCGTTCATCGACATATTAATTATGTCTCTCGTAGGTGAAATAAAAATCAAAATGACATTATTGTTGACAAGTTTGAGTCTTCAAGAGAGGGAAAAAAAGTAGAAACACTTTTTTGGAATATTAATACCTACCCATGATTGCATAGGCTCGTGATCCTGTAGAACTTGCAACTGAAAAAATTACATCTCTCAGAAATTTGAGTGAATGATAGGAATATTCTTAGTATTTTAAATTTATTTAGAGCAGTTACGGTAAACTCGAACGGAATTTTGTCATGTACTTAAAATTTATTACTACAGAATTTTTTAAATATTAAATTTTTCCAAGTATTTTTTGTTTTGAAATAAAATTTTTATCTATTTAATAAAATTTTCAATTAAAAGTACCTACTGTTAATAATTGTTCTAAACAATATGTAATAGAGACTACAAGTTTAATACAATATTAATTAATACAAAAAAATTGATGCAATATAATTATGTTTTAACAACACACTATCGTATAAACATTTGACTTAACAATATGATGATGTCTA